TGGCTTGGGTGACTAATTTTTGTTCAGTCTAAAGTGACTGCCCAAAGGTGTGTCAACTGGTTTGGCTTTATTTATAATTAACCTGCTAAGCACTTTTTTCACATATTCAGCCTGTGAAAGCCTCAACGTGCCTCTGACTTAGTCTCTAACAATCCTCCTGTCAAGGATTTGCTTCGCCGCTCCCAAATTCTTCATTGCAAAGTGCTCTGACATCTGCTTCTTTAGATTATCGATCTCATCAATGCTGACCCCTGCAATAAGCATATCCTCCATATACAACAACATGATGATATAGGAATTGTCAAAGTACCTGACATAACAACGATGATCTGCCTAGCATCTGTTGTACCCTGCATTCAGCATGAATTTATCAAACTTCTTGTACCATTGTCTGGGAGCTTATTTTAGACCATACAAACTCCTCTTCAGTTTGCAAATTGAATCTTCCTTTCTTGGTACCACGAACCCTTTAGGTTGACGCATGTTGATGTTTTCTTCAATGTCTCCATGAAGAAAGGTTGTCTTCACATCTAATTGCACCAAAAATAAATATTCGGTAGCAACCATAGCCAGTACCATTCTAATGGTTGTGAGCTTCACCATATGAGAAAAGATCTCAGAATAGTCAATGCCCTACTTCTATTGAAAACTCTTTACAACAAGTCTGGCTTTGTACCTTTTACTATCATCAAACTCAGTCTTCACCAGGTACACCCACTTGTTGTGCAATACCTTCTTCCCTAGTAGAAGTTCTGTCAGCTCCAATGTCTGATTTTCTAGCAGCGAATCCATCTCCTCCTTCATGGCCAGCTCCAACTTGCTAGAATTTTCATCTGCTAAGGTTCCTTCATAGCTCGGTGGTTCCAAACTGTGTGTCAGCAAGATGTAGTTTGAACTTGTTGAGTAATACTGTGGCGAACGCCTACTCCTGACTGACCTACGAACGGCGACTGGAGTAGTGAATGACTCTAAACCTGACTGCAGAATAATAGGAATGGGTGCCTTGGACCCATTCTCCTCGTCGTTCTCATCTTTGCATTGTACTGTGACCTCTGGTAGATCGTCAAATCTCACGAACTCTGATTCCTAAGGAGCTGATAAAAAAATTGTATTAGTCGTGTCTTTGTACATCGTCTTCTCATTAAAGATCTCTGATAACCTTCCGATCCTGGTCATCCCAGAAACGATAGCTGAATGCTTCGTCTTCATAGCCAATGAAATAAAATTTCTTTGACTTAGCCTCAAGCTTATTACGTACATCAGGATTGATTAAAACATAAGAAAGACAACCAAAAGTCTTAAGATGAGAAAATTTGACCTCTTTCCAACTCTAGACCTCCTCAGGTAATTTACAGTCTAATGGGACGAATGGTCCTCTGTCGATCAAGTAAACTGCAGTGCTGACATCATCTGCCCAGAAAGTTGGTGGTAGTCCGACGTGCAATCTAATGCTCCTGAAACGCTCATTGATGGTCCTGTTCATACGTTCTATAACTCCATTTTGTTGTGGTGTTCTAGAGATGGTATTCTCCATTCTGATACCCTGAGGTGCACAATACTCCTTAAACCCACCATAAATGTACTCATAACCATTTTCAGACCTCAAATATTTCAGTTTTAGCTCTGTTTCTGTCTCAATCATGACCTTCCAAGTTTTAAAAACAATAAATACATCATATTTATGCTTAAAAAATTAAACCCATATTTTTTCTGTTGTGATCATCTATGAATGTGACGTAATATCAAGAGCCTCCAAGAGATACCACTGGGGAAGACCCCCACATATCAGTGTGTAGAAGTTCTAGTTTTCCTGCCTTTGACACCTTTTGGCATCTTTCCACCTTTCAGGAAATTGACCTTCTTCTGCTTCTCCATAATGCAACTTTCACACATGCCGAGGTCAACTGACTTCAGTTCTGGTAGCTTGCCTCTGGACTGAAGCTCTTTCATTCATCTTTGACTCATGTGTCAAAGTTTGTAATGTCACATGTCTGTTTTGTTCTCTGCAACTGTGATATCAACACTGTTAATTAAACCAGTAGTCATATATAACGTACCAATTTTCTTACCTCGAGCTAGTACCAGTGCTTCTTTGGTAACCTTCCAGGTGTTATCAGAGAACACTACTAAATGACCACCCTCTTCAAGCTGCCCAACATATATGAGGTTCTTTTTCAGTTCAGGAATGTGTCTAACCTTTTGCAGGATCTATTTGCTTTTGTTAGGAGGTGAAATTTCAACATCTCACATCCCTATCACGTTCAAAGCAGCTCCATCAGGCAGGTACACCTTCCTAAAGTCACCTACAACATAGTTTTGCATCAACTATCGGTGGGAAGATGTGTAAAAAGAAGCCCCCGAGTCCAGTATTCAATCGCCAACAAAGCTATGAATTGTAAGCAATAGTGCATGCTGCACTTCTTTAGTTACCACATTAGCACCGTCGTTCTCTGTTTTCTTAGGATTTTTGCAGTTCTTCTTTATGTTGCTAGTTTTTCCACAATTCTAGCAGGTTGCTTGCTGACCCGGCTTTGACTTGCTCTTGCCTCTGTGCCTTAATTTTGATCATCCTCTGTTTAAGTTTCTGTCATGCGATCTCTCTTTAAAATCAACATTCAGTGCTGAATTCAAACATGAGGCCTCGCTAGAATCCTTCATGCGCACCTCTTCAGCTAAAATCAAGTCACGAATATCATCATATTTTAACTTAGTTTTACCTGCAAAGTTGCTAACTGTTATTCTCATAGCTTCTCAGTTATTCGACAATGAAACCAACAATATCAGCGCACGTATCTCATCGTCAAAATCAATTTTAACAAACGAAAATTGATTTGTGATGGTATCAAAATCATTTATATGTTAAACGACAGACACATGTTCCGTCATCTTTAAGTTAAATAACTTTTTCATCAGATGCACATTGTTATTCGCCGATGGTTTTTCATACATATCTGATAAAACCGCCATGAGATCTGCATTTGTCCTCTCCTTGATGACGTTGTGGACAATAGATATCGACAGAGTTAGTCAAATAAACCCCAAAACTTGTGGATCCAGCAGATTTCATTCAGCCTCTTCCATATTCTCTGGTCGTTTTCCCAGTAACGGAAGATGAAATTTCTTCCCATAAAGATAGTCATCTATCTGCATCCTCCTGTAACCAAAATCCGTGTCGTTGAACTTCTCGATCCCTGAAACATTCACTTCGTCTCCGACAATCGTTCTTCCTTAGATCCAAATCGAGGCTCTGATACCAATTGTTGTGAAAAAAAACGATAAATGAAAAAGAATTTAGGAAGAGAAAAATTACATCAGAAAAGACGACACAAGATTTACGTGGTTCGACAATTGCCTACGTCAGCGGAGTTGTAGAGGATTTTCTTACTTCGAGGAAATTACACCGTTGAGCGCCTCGACGTTTACAGAAAAACACTAACTTTTTTTTTTCTCTCTCTCCTTTTTCTCTACTAAAGAAGTTACAACCAAGGGAAAAAGAATTCCGTAAGCCACCCATAAGCCAACTAGCAGAGGAAGGAGATTGGATTAATTGGAGTGATTCACCTGGGCTTTGAGTTTTCCAATTTATAACCAAGCTAGTAAGCCCACTTAAGGCAACCATAATACTAATTTAGCAATTTTGCAGGAGGGATTCCAATACAGGCGACGCGGGAGTGCGGAGAGGAAGAGAAACGTGAAGCTTCACGCCGTTACGCGGTTCAGTGGAGAAGGAAATAAGTGGGAGATCGGGCGTGCAACAAAGATTAAGGAAAGTTATTAAACTTAATTTTCGGTTTAATAACTTGCCTAAGCCGCAGTGGACATGGCTCCACTTTCTCAACAAAACCAACAAACATAGAAGAAGAGTGGGTTAAGAGAGGGCTTGGCTTGTGGTATTTATTGGAATTCAGTTGCAAAAATTATAAATTCTATAGCTTAGAAGTGAGACATGTTTTGAGTGCTATGTATGTAAATAATAAAAAAAAGAAAACTAGTTTAATAATATTTATTTTAGCTATTTGATTGAAAATTTTTTTTTTTTACATGACAAACTAATTAGATGTTAATTTAAAATTTATTCAATTGTCTATTTATTTGAATTTATAAAATCATTTCTTAATAATTCTAGAACAAGTCAAATACTCATTTGAATTTTTAACTTATTTACTGAATTTATATGAATATCAAGTATAAATTTAAATTTAAATTTTATATAAAAAATTATGTACTTGTTGAATTCTATATTATCTTTTTGTGGAACACGTTACGAGAGTTAGAGCCAAGAGAAGAAGGGAGAGAGACAGAGCCAAGGAATGTAGGAGAATCTATAAATGTCAGAATCTCCCAGAGTGAAGACCCCAAAAGGTTTATTCATTAATGTAATGACCTCTTATTTATAGCGATTCAGGTATACAAGTACATCTAAGGAAAGCAATTTCCATAACCATCTGAATGATTGAACTCAAATTACATGATAATAAAAATAAAGATTACATATGGTCGATCTTCCAAAACCTTGAAATCGACCAGCTGTGTGGTCGATTACATCTTCTTCTTTGGATTGGCTCGTTTGATCAGGGTGTGAGAACTTTTGCTAGCGGTCTTTTGATCGGTAACTTCATCGATCAAAAAATTCCACTGAAAAGATTCCATCGATCGACTAAGCAATAAAGCCAGTTGACTATTTATTGCTGAATTATTTGTTCTGTTGTCCGACACTTGTCTGATTTTCTCAAAATTCATGCTAACATATTTATAGCATACAATATTCATATGAATATTTAAATTTTATATATTCAATATATATATATATATATATATATATATATATATAAATTAAGAATAAAAAATAAAAGAAAATTAAGAATGCACGTTAGAATATTTATTAGATGCAAATTGATGAGATTAGAGAAATATTTAAGTTAATATTAAAATAAATCTCACATATCACCTCAATATCAATCTAATATGATACCTAATATTTCCTCCCACATCGACTCGACCGGGCCTCGCAGGAGCCCTAGTTACAAGTTAGTAATAAGAGCACCATGCTACCCTGCCGAACCACTCCACCTTTTTTGTAGGCAGTTTTTTTTCTACTGCTCGCTTGGAAAATCCGCAGCAACGACGAAGAAAATGATACCCCTAGTCCTCAACACATTTTAAAAATGGCGATCTACCCTAGAATCAACGGAATTCGCTCGGTTTCTTATCTTTTAAACCGCCTGAAAACCCTAATTTCTAACCAACAGGTTGTGATTCTGGTACCTTCTATTTTTTCAATCTAGGCTTTTCATGAAACAGTTCCTGCTTTGTTCTACTTTCAGAGGTGGAAACATACTTCCGAGACGGTGATGGAGATCAACCAAGTCGAAGCTATGGTTATGACTCCTTCGGATAAAGGTGCTTCTAACCTTCGTTCCCTTTAATGCTCTCTTTTTCAACCTGCATAGTAATTTTCTTTAGCGATCGGAATAGGGATCTCCCAGTGACTTTTATCACTTCACGTTCGCGCTTTTATTATGTCAAACCATAGTTATTTTGATGAGAAAGGTAGACGATGAAAAAATTGGTTGGAAGAACATTACTTTGAACTGGTAAGAACATTACTTTGAAATGAACTTCTGTAACTGATATGCCGTAATAAACTATCCTATATTAAGTTAGGTTTTATCAATGTCTTCTTCATCTACTCAGTTAACTATTACGGTATATTTTTGGTACTACTGAAGATTTGCTTTCTTTACCACCGAAGCCATCACACGATATCTAATAACCAATGCTAATTATATTCTTCAGCTTGGAAGACCGTTGACTCAAGGACTTTTGGGATTAAAAAGGAATCAATACTACCTTCTATAACGGTGGTTCTAAAAACTCTTCAAACAAATGGTGCATTTCTCCTTCTCATTTTTTAACACTATTAAGCTTGAGGTCACTCGTTCCTGTTCCTGCAAAGAGCTTTCTTTTGATATTATACTTTTTAAGTTTTTGGGATATTTTTTGCAGTAATTATGATGCTTTCGTTTTAGTTACATAAAATTTTTGTAGTCTGAAACCTACAATAATGTTTATATTTTCCTTGTCTTCAAGCTCAGCATAATCATCAGCATTTTTATCATCCTTGCAGTAATGTCAATGGCAGCATCATCAACAGCATTATTCCCTTTATGATTGATTGTTTCCATCAGTGTCATCATAAGTGTTGTCCCAGTTATAATTAAAATGTGATGTTCAAATGTTGTCAAATTATATGTAGCATGCTTTATACTTCAACTACTTGTAGTTATATGCAGGTCATAATCATTAGCATTGATTTGGCCACTAATAATATATCATAGCTTTAAATTATATCACAATTAAAGAAATAATATCCAAACAATGTATTTCTACAGTTTTTATCTTTATTAAGAGCTGTATTCAACCAATGCTATCAATCTATGTGTGTTGAACCACTTTAAAATAGTAGATATACCAAATAGCCTACATGCTAAGGCTTCTATAGATGAAAGAAAAAGTTAAACAAGAATAAGAATGAAAATGTTTTTTTCTTTTAAGATGCCTCTCTGTATACACAAGAAATTGCAAATACATGGCCAAACTGTTTGTAATTGTATAGTTACATTATCATATTGTTGATTGTTATTGTAGAAAATTATCAATTTAGGAAAGTACTATAATTTTATTGAGTGGTGCATGTTTATATGGTTTTACCTTAAAACATTGTATTTGGTCTTCAATTTTTATGATAAAGTGGTTTTCTATTGAATAAACTAGAACAACAAAGCAAAAAAAGAACTTTTACCTTCGACCTATTATCTAAGTGAGGTTAGTCCTAACCCTAGTCTCTTCCCACCCTCTCTCCTCCACCAAGACTTATATCACACCCCAACGATTGGCCTCCCATGTGCTTGATTCATGCTCTCTCCCTCTTACCTAACTTATTCCTACTCAATCCATGCCCACAATCCCACATGCTTATAATGTACATAGCTTGATTCTTGCTTGCTGCTGATGTTGCTTACTATCAATCCCACTTCCATAGTTATGTTTTGCTTCAAATTGTCACTTTGTTGTTGCCACCCTACCGACACATGCTGTTGGCCACCCATTGTCCTGGGATACAACCTCTTTCTGCATTACTGAGTACTTATTCTTAGTAATTTTAGTCGGCTCTTAGGATTCTTTGGTTCTTCCTCTCACTCGGTGCATAACCTTTCAACCTTGTCTTGATGACTCCAATCCTCTTCCATCATCGATGTTAAAATCAAATTCAAAGATATAAATAAATTTTTATGATTGTAACTCTAATCAATTTCTATTTCAAGTTTCATCACCTTAATGATTCCTCTTTTAGATATTTCATTATTTCTGAGAAAGGTTTTGTTCAGTTGCTTCAATAATCACAAATAATTTTTTCAACCTCTCAAGCTATCTCTTCCCTTGAATTTGGTGCATCTTTTTTTTATTAAGTATTGGGTGTTAGATTCATGTCCTTCCTTCCATGTGATTGGTTATTGTCAACTATCCACTCTTCACTTATTTTCTCAAATTCTGTCATTATTGCCGATGGTTACCTTGCTTCTATTTTTTGTTTGGTATTGTACTTTCTTTCAAATTTCTATCTTTTTAGTTGTTACATTGTTCTTTGAATTTTTTGCCAATTTTATACAATACCAAACTTATATTTGTTCCATTACTTTTATTCCTTGTATTATATTTTTTGAAGTCTCAACTTGAGGAAAATAATTGGTAGAAGTGTTAAAGCTAGCAAAATCTAATACTTAATGGTTATAGTCTATTACAACAATGTCTTTTCCACGAACACTTTTCAGTTGGGTCACGCCCCCAATGGACTTTAAGATTTCTTCATATTTTCTCATCTTTTTTCAAGTTTGATACACACGAGCTAGTTAAACAATTTGTATCTTTTTCTTTTACCAGTAGTTATTGTAATCTTTCTTTTGAGTTAATCTACTTAAATATTTAGGATCTTTATTCTAGCTTTAAAATTTTATAATATTGTCACTTTCATTGATGATTGTTTGAGGATCACTTAGTTCTACTTTTTCAATCTGTATCATAAGTTCTTAGTGTATTTTAAATATTTTGTTTAGAAATAAGTTTGTTTTTATATTTTAATAAAAAATTATGCATTGATGCTGATGTGGAGTTTATGCAATCTCAACTTTGTATTTCTTGTTTTGACAATGATATTGTATATTAGATATCTTGCCCTTAAATATTTCAAGGAGATGACATTAATATTTCACATAAATGTTCATCATCATTCTTGGGGGAAGATGTAATCTTAATTGATTATTATTTTATTATCCCGGCTCCCTTTACTCTTACTATTATCTTTTACGTTTTGATGATTCACTTAACAACCTTGAGTTTAAAATAGTGCTTGGCTTATATTATTGGTGAGCTTGATTTAATGAAGATCTGCTTTTATTCCAGTATGAGATGTATTAACTTGAACTTCCATCCATAAAGATATTGTCTGCTTTGACCTAATACCTCAAAGTTTAGTCCCATTAACATAACTTCCCAGGGGGACCCATCCCGAGAATGCTCTTGTACTAGCATGCTTTAATTTGGAGTTTTTGAAAAAAATCCAATCATTTCACTAAAAGGCATCTTGATATTTGAGTTTAGTTTTATTCTTCTTCAAGGGTTTCACAATCCCCCCAACCTAGGTAGCTAACGTTTTTCAGTTTTCTTAATATAAAATCATGCATCAAGCATATAGTACTCTAGAGATAGCTTCTAGAAATCCAAGTGTTGTCTCCCACCATGTAATACTAGGTTTAAAAGGTGGCTCTTATAGCATAGCACTTTGTTCTGTATGACATTTAGTTCCTATCTTCAAGTTGTTGTATGCTTTTATACCGTTTGTAGTAGCCGGAACTGTTAACCATTCATATATTGCTCACTTTGGCTAATTGTTTCATGGTTTTGCTCTATTGGTATAACTTCCTAGGAGGTTACCTATCCCAAGAATGCTCCCATAAGAGTATACTAACTTTGGAGTTTCTAATGAAATTCTAACAATTACACCAAAGACACCTCATTGTTTAAGAGTTTGGCTTCATATTATTTAAGGGATTTTACAATCTCCTTTCTTCAAGTTGTTGTATGCTTTTATACCGTTTGTAGTTGCCTGAACTGTTATCCATGGAGTTTCTAATGAAATTCTAACAATTACACCAAAGACACCTCATTGTTAAAGAGTTTGGCTTCATAATATTTAAGGGATTTTACAATCTCCTCCACTTAAGTAAATGACATCCTTATCAGTATTCGTAACCCAAAATCACACCAGATTGAAAGGATTCAAGAATTGGCTCTGCAGAGTCAAGATATGGCTCCCATCATGTTGCACTTTGTCCCATATAGGGTTCAAAAGCTGACTCCCATGGTGTAAAACTTATTTCTGCATTGCACTTAGTTCTCATTTTCATGCTAGTGTAATGCTTTGTATCATTTGTAACAACTCGAATTTCCATCCATCAAGATATAGCCTGCTTTTGCCTGATAGCCTCACGGTTTTGTCCCATCGTTGTAACTTTTTAAGAGGTTACCTATCCTGAGCGTGCTCTTGTATGTGCATGCTTAACTATGGAGTTTTTATAATTCCAACATTTACACCAAAAGATACCTCAATATATTAGAATTCAAATTTATTCTTCTTACGAGATTTCATATGAGAAGTCAAAATCTACCAAGCAGATTGTTTCAAAAGGATTTGTCAATTCGATTGGAAAGGAATCAATCTTAAAGCCTTATTTGATTGAATGACACATTGTCAAGAGCTACTCAAAATTATACGAAATCTTCTCGGCCCGGGGCGAACCACTAATTGGTTCCTTAAAATGTTTAACAAACTAGCCAAACCATTTGGATAGCCTTTGGAGATGCTAGTCGATTAGATTTAATCAGATGAAATCAGTCATCCTAAAGAGCATAATTTCAAATATATTTATTTAAAGCTTAGGCTGTGATAACCCCTTTTCTTAAAAGAAAAATTCACACTTAATTTTTGACACCTTAAATAAATGAGAGTATTAAATTTTCTTATATCTCCTAAGTAGTTTCATTGTTGGTTCCATAATATTTTGATCATCAGAATAATTCTGTCACAAATTCACCGCTATTGTCTGGCTAAAATCCAAATGGGCTCGACTTATTGCTAAGATTAGGTGAAATATACAATTCCTCAAAGTTAGTATTCAGTATTTGAGCATGTATGGCTTTGCATGAAATACATTATATACTCCAATGAAAAGAGGTGGTACTTTAAGTTGGTTGTCGATTGATTGATACGGTCAAATTGCTTAACACCTTTTATGGAATTGACTTTTATAAAGACTTGATCTTCTTGCGCAAGCTAGCATCTCTGTCTTTGGTATCATAGGATTCATATGACCTAATTTAAAATTCCCTTATACATTGTTATACTTTATTATTCTAGACTTTCCTTTCATTAGGTTTTCTCTGAAAGCTTCGCATTTATCTAGATCAATCCATCACAAGGACGATAAACATCTTTTCTACAATGCTTCCTACAAGGTCATGCCAATGCTGATTTGGTAGTTGTTGTTGCAGCATAATCTAGCCAATGGTAAATCTTTGTATGAGCTTTCTCCAAAGTCTGAACCTCACAATTTGAGAAGATCTTTCATAGTTTGTAGTCCTCTAGGTTTGCTCATTATTTTGTGGGTGAAAAGTGGTGCAAAAATTTAGTTAGGTTCACACTACTTGTTATACATGCTTCCATAACCATGAATTAAATCACCATCTGGATTTGAGACAATTTTCTTCGAGGCTTCATAAAGGTGAACAATGACCTCACGCAAACCTTAGTGGTTTGATTCATGAATTGTGGT